AAAAAAAAAAAAAAAAAACGAACAAGAATGTCAATGAGAGCTCATTAATGGATATAACAGCTGTATATAAAAAAGCCGAACAGCCATACCCTGCAAACGTATTCATCACAACGCTGGCATTTGTCAACCATGTCTCTGGCACAACGTCCAGATTTCCCCCAAGTAAGGCTGCCGCTCCGGGTAGGAGGCAAACTACCCCATTGGACATTAGATGGCTTTGAGCTAGACTGATTTATTATGCTATCGAGGACCTCGTTCCTACAGCGTAGGGTTTCCTTGACGAGCTGGTTTCGAAAGATAAGGAGCGTAGAGTGGACCTGACGGCATGTCATGGATAATGAATGTAGAGTGGTTAGGTCCACACACCGAGCGAGCATGGTCACTATCCTGTAGAGAAGAACGTAGAGACAAGCAATGCATATGGTCAACAATCTTGGACAAGAAATTGCTAGATACCACAGCATTCAAAAAAGGAGGAAATATATAGAGTGAATCAACATATTTCATCCTCAACAACAACAGCAGCAATAACAACAGCAACAACAGCAAAAGGTGTGATGTTTTTGCGTACGGGTAGCAGCTTAATGCCATAGATATCAAGCCATTCAAACACGAAGGATCTCTATCCCTCTCGAGCCCAGTTTTATCAACCATATCCGCCCTGGTACAATCGCCAGTTCGCAGTTGGGACAAGGATGCGGCGAGCATGAACTGACAATCTTTGGTGAGTGGCGGCGGTGGTATTTTCCCTGCCTCGAAGAAGCCGCCAACAGGTTCGCTCAGAGACGCATCTTCGAGCGAATGGTCTATAAACACCACCATGGTTGTGCCATACAGATACCCCTCTAACAGAAGCGGAGTGGGACGTGGGAAAGCTGTAGCTAGAGGTATCCAGTGGAATAGATATCCGGATAGCCGGGGTTAGACAAGCGAAGAATTATGAATTCTAAGACAAGACATAAAAGAGGGCAAGGAGAAAAGAAGAGAGGAAAGAGACCGTTAACTACTGAAGAAACATGCTGGCAGGCCGCTTCCCAGCTCACAAGCACGACGCAAACCAAGCAAGTCAAGTAAAAACTTCACTCGACGTTGATGTGCGGCTAATGCTCATCGGTTAAGACGCCGTCCAGTCACTCTCTCGTCCTTTCTCGCAGTCTTCAAGCCCAAAAGTCAGGTGATGCTTAGATAATGAAACCTTATCAGCAGGTGACCCCCGGGTTTCAACCCTCCTCCATACAGAACGACGGATGAAGGCGTGACCTGTGAATGCGGTTTGTATGGCGTACAGGCTCTTTAATCCATGGCTTTATGGATATTATTCTACTGCCTCCCAACCTTCCGGCTCTGGTTAGTTACTCCGTGAAAGAAGCGGCTTCCAAGGAGGATGGATAACCATTGCTTATGTTTTTGTTGACACCCACCTTCTGCCATCCTGACTACGATACCCTCCTGCTTTGTGAGTGCTATCGTCCTTCAATATATTCTTCTCAGGTCTCGAGACAGGGTCGTCGTTGATCCATTCATATTTGGTATTCGCTGGACAGAAACGATGAAGCCAATAATCTCTCGATGCGCGTGGTCCTGGTATGGGAGTTCCCAAATTTGAGGAAAAATTCTGCTGGGATGGCATGGGTTGTCGCAGCCCATCAATCCCACAGTGATCTATCCCAGAAATTTACGTTATCGCTCCTTATTCCACAGCTAATACTGCAGTCTCGGTAGCTTAACAAAACGTGACTGGCTAGAACAGAGCTGGCTTCGCATTCAATGAGTTTGGGGTGTGTTCAGTTGTCAGCAGCGAGCTGGACCCTAGAGGGTAACCACTCCTGCACGAAGGAAGACTGCTCTGCATTATTGAGAACGCTCGCATGTACGGAGTATGTGCGAGTTGCTTCCCTATGCGATATATACGGAGTGAGAACCCCGGGCCAGCTCTTGATTCCTTGCGGAAAGGACGGGGGGAGAACGATACGGGGTAACTGTACTTCATACGAAGGGATGGTTGATCAAACGTATGGCTTTAACGGAACATAAACTGTCTTCCGTGTGAAGTGCCTATTATGTGCTACCAGCCTCACGCTAGGCCGAATTGCAATTATGAGGACCACTGACCCCTCTTTGGTATCAAGCCGACTCTCCCTTGACCAGTTATGGAGTATGACTGTACCCGTTGTTACCAGTTTGGAACAGAGGTAAACGAAGTGGTGCATTTCAGAAGCTCGGAAGATTCTATATCTTCTGCGCCTGGGACGAACTCGTCGATTTCGAAGTGTTGGACCTCACCACCCTTCCCGCGGCTTCCCGCTAGTGAGCAGTTGCCCACCTTCTTGGGCTGGCTTCAGATAGCGTAACTCTGGCCATTGGCCTGTGTCACATCGTTACTCGAGCTGTGAGATACCTTGCATTTGTACACCCCTGGCCGCTTTCTACCCTGGCTCGCTGGACTTTAGCAAGCGCCCACAGCTGAGTGGACTCATTGTCTGTGAGGCATGACTGGTTCGCAACCTGCATAGCCATCTTCTTTGCGTCGGTTTAAAAATTAATCTAGCAGAGTAAGCAAGTTTAACTAGTAAGCTACTCCATACTAGGCGCATACATATAAACAAACAAGCACGAATGCTTAAAGAGTTTGATATCAATCGCCCCACTGCAAGTCAATTTCTGCTCCCGCTGCATCACACCGGTTCTGCAGGGATCCATTTTTCCCCCCGAGGACCCTTTCTCAGCTACGTTATTTCCACGACAAAACTGTCGAATAATGCGCATTCACGTTTTCAACAACATCCAGCACACCACACATGAGCGACGACTTGTCACTTTCAAACAGGGCTGGCTGGTTCAAAACTCATGTACGAAGTACGGAGTCCTGCCGCTCCGCAGCGCGAGGAAAACACTTCCAGCAAAGCACAACTAACTAGCTAGTTAGTTAACTGTTAGTTTATCAGGCTGCACTACCGAGTACCCGGCTTCAGCCATGGTGTTAGCTGATACACAACACAGGCTTAGGGCTCGAGATGGCTTGGTTAATTACAGAATCCTCTGTCGGCCTTGGGGGCAGGACTGCTTAATGGTTGGTATACCTTTAACCACAGCAAGATGGCGGATACCCCAAAGCCTCTCCCGCAATCAAGACTTCCAGGGTAGCTAATTACCATCCAGTCTTGTAATTAGTGGCTCCTCCTTCTTTGATGACCAACTTGAGGGCTGAGACAAAAGCAATGAGTGACGGGAGAAAGAGAGAGACAAAAGAATCAATGCGCAGGTCAAAAAAGGAAAAAAGAAACTGGATGTGTAAGTTTACATTCCTTTTTATTTCTAAGCATCCCGAGCAAGAGTAACCACAAATAGCAAAGAACGCTGTATGACATGGCATGGCATGGCATGGTGGGATCTTTTACCCCCAAATACCACCACTATATAACTCGAAATTCTGTAAACAGTCTTGACACATCTGTCCCTGACTGCTGTTTGATCTTGCTTTAAAGCTCAAATACAGAGTACCCCGACTGGGCGTTCCGTCTTCACAGTTGGTTCGATTGCAGCCCTATCAGACCTCCCTTGGTTGCAGTAACTACTTGCATCAGCCAGATCACAGCTCGGACAGATAGCATAAGCCATGGCATGGCTAGGGAGTCTGAGTGTCTCTGACATCATCAACTACACCATTCCCTATCAAATTGCGGCTCTCTCTGTTGGCCTCCTGGTAGTTCTCATCTTGCTTATTGACCATGCAGACATTCTCCTGCGTTCCCGACATGTCAAGGACCTCTACTGTGTTACTAGCCAGACCCTTTTCAAGACACGGTTTAGGAAGAAGCTGAGTGGCACCGAGTTAGAAAATGCCCTTCGATACGCATACAATAATGTACGTTGACCTTTGCCAGATGTGCAAGAGTGGTACCGCCCTCGACAATTCTCGACTAGATATTGTTACTGACTATCTTTCTTTATAAACAGTATACCAAGCAAGGGAAGCCATTTGCAACCAAAGCAGACCTTGAAAGTTGGATCATACTCCTTCCGCCAAAAGCGATGAAGGAATGGTGTAACTTGCCTTACAGCCATTTGAACTTCACAAGATATCTCCAGGATGTACGTTATCTCCCAAACTACTTTTGGTTTGTCGTTGAATACTCGGCTAATTATCAATGCTTCGTAGGTTGCTGCCATGGGGTATCATACCCAGGTGGATTGCCAAATCCACCTTCGCGCCGTCATGGCGTACAATCAGAAAAAACATTTTGGTTAGCCTTCTTTAAACACCCCTTGCTGGAACATACGTTCAATCTATAGGCTAACATCTGTTCTTCTCACATACAGAAAAGATTCAGCGATATATGGCCGCGGACACCGATGAGTTTCTTCCTTCATTGTTAGGCAATCCAAATCACAAGGGTATTGCTTGCTACCCACTTCCTTTACCCATTGCCTGGAACATTAGCGTATAATCTAATAAGTTCTATGTAGAGTGGATTGATTTCAACTTATTCGGGACGTTGTCTCCCCTCTTGATGCTCTTTTCTACATCTCTAGTCTTGGGGCCAGAATTCTCCAGAGACCAAGAGCTCATGGCACAGATAACCTCCCACGTTCTGGGCATTGAAGAAATATTGGGGGAATTTGATAGATACCCAAGGATTCTACGTCCTTTCGTATGGGGATTCTCCCCAATATGTCGAGCATTCCGCTCCAACGCTTCGATACTAAAAGAGAAACTAATCCCTGAGATCCGGAGACGTGTAACGTTACTCCGATCAGGCGAATCAGCAGCTGATGATCTAACCATGTTGACCGTGTTTTTGAAGCAGGCGTTGAAGGACGGTCTTCTTACTCAAGAACAGTCTCCAAGTGATGAGAAGCAGTTCGAAAGTTTGTACATGAAGTCTTTGTTCCACATATACGAAGTCTGGGGACCCATTGCGCCGCTCCTAATCGCTCTCCTAACCAGGATTATGGACAGTCCAGAATATGTGGAAGATCTAAGGGAAGAGGTTTCGAAAGCACTAGCTTCTGCCGATGGATGGGATTCTGACTTCCTAGCAAACACACCAAAGCTAGAAAGCTTCACTCGAGAGACACTGCGCTTGAACGTTGCAATTTCTGGTAGGTGCTTTGTCCGTCACCAGATCCTACACTTCTGCTCTGCGAGGCCGAGCTAACAGCTATGTTAAACAGTCAGCGTGTCTCGAGTGCTCCATGCGCCCCTTAAGCTCAAATCTGTGGACATGGAGCTTCCAAAGGGGTCGTATATTGGGCTGCCCACTAAATTTATGCATACCGACCCTGAGCTCTACCGTGATCCCCTGACCTTCGACGGATACCGCTTCTATGATCAAGCATCGAATACAAGCACCACACGGGCAACCACTGCCTCTGAAACATTCCTCCCGTTTGGATATGGAGTTTCACTCTGCCCTGGAAGGTTTATTGGTGTGAAGGCAGCCCAGGTTGCGTTCTCAAGATTCCTGCTGGAATATGATGTGAAGTACCCTATCGAGGGTCAAAAGTTCCCGCCTATGGGCCTTCTTGAGAATACATGGACCTATCCCGAGATGGATGTCATGGCGAAAGTCCGGAGACGCCAGTCCAAGTCTCCTTAAGTATATATTCAGCTCGACTCTCTGCGCATAGGGACAACCAGCATAGTTGTATTACTGAAACACTGCCCCGAATTATCCCTTGGCGAGTTGATTCGTTAATTTTAGTTACCCTAGTTAAGTAAATATTGTTAGTTAACTAGCTTTGTTTCAGATGGAAATTGAAAAGGTCGCGAAGCTGTACCTATATATGCCCTCTATGACTAGCTACCTATGAAATAATCCACAAATGTCTTCCTCTATCTATCTAGAAGTACGCGGACATCGGTTGGTGCTAGTTATCAACCCCCCCCCCCCCTTGCTATATAATTGCAGTCCCTTGGTGTGACGATGGGCGATCTCACCAGCACGCTCTCCGCATGAAGGTGAGGAGAAAAGACGGAATCTCCATGTGGGGGCGAGGCAAAGAAAGCCATCTTCTGACCTTCTGGCTTGCTGTTTTGCTGCTGCGGACCCTTGAGATGGGACTTGGGACGGGGCCAAAGCCGGTGCGGAGGGAGACCTTTTGGGCTGCTCGGCGATAATCTCGGCTTCTTTCCATGGGGGCTTCGATTTACCCGAGTTGCTGCATAACTGACTACAAGTCCGGACAGCTATTTAAGCAGGCGTTCGAGGAGCTGCTGAGGCTGGATATGCTGCCGGCACAGTTGACAATTGATTCAAGTCGAAAAACACTACTGAATAACTCGCTACTATGCCTGTGACTGCGAGCGATGTCCACTCGGCGTCTGCGCCCTTTACTGCGTTTCCTTGCCGCCGGAGCGTGGTCCATAGCACGAAGGGGATAGTCTCATGCACCCAACCGCTGGCTGCTGAAGCTGGCCAGAGGATCCTGAAGCTAGGTGGTAATGCTGCTGTAAGTTCACCTACCGAGTTATCCGTGTTGTGTGTGTGTTTCTACGTACTGATGATCTTAGGATGCGGCAGTTGCTGTGGGTGAGTGGGATGATAACAGCCATGGCCCCTCCAAAAGAGCCTGCAACAGGCTACATTACATGCCACAGAACTAACGGAGCAGTGTAACAGCGGCTGCGCTGAATGTGACGGAACCGCACTCTACCGGTATTGGTGGTGACATGTTCTGTCTGTTCTACAATGCCAAAACAAAGAAAGTGCATGCCTTGAATGGCTCTGGACGGATGCCGGCGGGTGCTTCCCTGGACCGGGTGCGTCGGGCGCTGGGAGACGACAGTTTGACACAACTACCAAAGCTGAGCGTTCATGCTGTTACGGTGCCAGGTACCGCTGCCGGGTGGGTGGACACAGTGGAAAAGTTCGGAAGTGGGAAGGTCACCCTTGAGCAAATCCTCACGCCGGCTATTGAACTGGGCGAGGAAGGGTTCCCTGTGGCTGAGCTGGCATCTTCGTTCGTGAGTGCGTCCCGAGTATGTGAATTGATGGAGTGTCTATATACTAATAGCTGAATGCAGTGGAAAGGGTCTGAAGGCAAGATCCGCAAAGGAAGCCCAAACTTCAAGGAGCTCCTCAGAGAAGATAGCCAGGCAGAAGGCGGTGCGAGGGCCCCTGCTCCGGGTGAAGTGTTCACGAATCCAACTCTGGCCAAGACATTCCGGGCCCTGGCAAAGGATGGAAAGGATGGATTCTACAAAGGAGAGGTAGCCAAGGCCATCATCCAGATTGTTGAAGACCTGGGTGGCTTCATGACCCTTGACGACCTCAAGAACCATGCAGAAATGGGCAGCCAGGAGGTTGACCCAATCTCCCTGAAGTTCGATCCCAGTGACTTTGTATCCTCCAAGAAGAAGGAAGATGGAAAGGAGGTCGAGCTTTGGGAGCATCCACCCAACGGCCAAGGCATCGTCGCTCTGATGGCTCTCGGCATACTCAAGGAGCTCTCTCGATCCGGGAAGATTCCTCATTTCTCTCCCGACCAACACAATAGTGCACCATACCTGCATGCCCTGATCGAGAGTCTCCGCATCGCCTTTGCAGACGCAGCCTGGTGGGTGACCGATCCAGATGTGGAGAAGGTGCCGGCCCAGCAGCTCATCTCGCCCGCCTACTTGGCTGAGCGAGCCAAACTCTTCGATCCTAGCAAGGCATCAGCTGGCATCCTAGACCATGGCAGTCCCGCGCACAACCACAGCGACACGGTCTACCTTGCCGTCACCGATAAGGAAGGAAACGGCATCAGCTTCATCAACAGCGTATACGAAGATTTCGGTACCTGCATTATTCCCGCTGGTTGCGGATTCACGCTTCAGAACCGTGGCGCCAACTTCTCGTTGCAAACCGACCACCCGAACGTCCTGCGGCCGGGAAAACGGCCATATCATACCATAATCCCTGCTATGGTCACAAACCCCTCAGACAATTCCCTGCACACTGTCTACGGCGTCATGGGTGGCTTTATGCAGCCGCAGGGTCATGTCCAAGTGCTCTTCAACACCTTGGCGTTCGACCTGTCTCCCCAGGCGGCGCTGGATGCTCCACGGTTCTGCATCGAGGCAGGCAGTAAGGAGAAAGGCCATGGACAGATCATCTACCTTGAGGAAGGCATCTGCGACTCTGTGGTCGAAGAGCTTAGACAGATGGGCCATCCGGTGAAGGTTCTCAAGTCCTTTGACCGGAGCAAATTTGGCCGTGGTCAGGTTATCAGATGCCATACTGATCAGGGTAGGACTGTATATAGCGCCGGAAGCGACATGAGAGGTGACGGTGCGGCATTCCCGGCATGAGGCATTGTCCACCCATCAGCGTATTTTAGTTTGTACAACTTTTCTCTTGGTATCTCTTTGGTAGCTCTTTTTCTTCTTGGTCACTTTTTGGTAGATAAATCTTCGCCCGGTAAAATAGTGCGTCGATTGGACAATTCTCTCGGACCAGTGTTCCGACCAGTTGTTTGATCACTCAGATGAATAATAGTTAATAGGTGCCGGGCTTGCTGTCGATCTGCTTCTCACAGCAAACGCCTGACAGGGATAGATAGGTATTGTCTGTTCCTTGAGCAGTCGAACCACCCAAGACGACGGATGGATATTGGCTATCCCATC